CCTTTGACCAATTTGACCAATATTAAACCCTTTGGCCAGCTGGTCAAATTGGTCAAACTGGTCTGGTCAAGCTTGACTATTGACCGGTCTGTGCCAACCCTGAAAATAATATATTATAATAAAAGTAATTTAGCAAACCATACACAAAAATTAATACAAAATTTTTAATATCCTTTAATATTTTTAATAAAAGTAGCCCATTCATCTTTTTTGATATTCTCTAACTATGTAATTCTAATATTATCAATTATATCTAAAAGTATCTAATTATTATTAAGTGCTTTAAGTAATTGATGCAAGCGAGGCCCTGCAGTAATAAAAGTTGTAAGCTTTCTTGATAAAATATTTTCTACAAAGCCAGGAATATTAATATTTAAATCTGAAAAACTTTCTAAATCTTGATTTTTTTTTCTTTTTCTTACAATGAAAGAATCACCATCAATAATATATTTAATATTAAAAGAATTGTTTGATTGATTAATATTAAACATGTTATATAGTGATTCTTTCCCAGTAACTAAAGCCCTTACTTGAGTTGCACACTTGGTTCTTTTTTCATGGATTGTATATTTATTTATTTATTCTATTGAGTAATTATATGCTATTTCAAATTTATACAAGAATCGAAGTAATATTCTGTGAGAAACTTCAATATTATAAGTTGTAATATTACAATCAAAAATAGACTGATAGCAAGTGCTTATTAATGTTGTAAAAATAATTATTTTTTTATCTGATGATTCATTTTTTGATAAATTATTGACTCTAAGATCTTGTAATACTTCTGGCAAACATTTTAAAAGCATTATTTGGTCTTGCAAACTTAAATTATCATCTGAATTTGATAATATAAGATTTTTATATTCCAAAGCTAATCTGCCATTAATCTGAGCAGGATCAAATTAAACTATTAAAGTTTTATGAAGTGTAGAGAGTTCCTTTAGATAATTAAGAAGACTTTTATAATAATTATCTTTCTTAATAAATGAATTTTTATTATAAAAGAGTGCTATTACAGTTAATTTATTTTCAAATGCTAATAGTTCATAGTATAGGTTTGAAACCTTTAATTTATTTCTAGTTAATATCTCCTTTTTTTTAGTGGATTGAAAATTAGCAAAATAGCCAAGATATGGATAAAGGTCTTGATTAGCTTGCCTTTATTAACCCTTTCAAAATTAGAAAATTTAATATTTATTACTGTCTTCCTAATTTCGAGAGGGTTGATTGGCTCCAATACAATTTTGACTTGATTGTTTTTAAGTATTGCAATTTCTTTTGTTGGATTAATTTCAATTTTGTCAAAATGAATATCCTTTGTAATAGATGCTAAAATGACATAGTAATTTATAATATCCAGGGATATTTCTTGAAGGAAAGTAGGTATTGCAAGCTGATTAACCCTTTTAGAAGTTTTTGTCACAATGTCTAAAATTAAAATTAAAGTAAGTATTTTTTTTCTAAGCTAATAAAACTAATTAAATTATAGATTTACATTGTTATTTAATAATTCTTCTATCAATATCTTCATTGTCCTTTTCATTACTTTCGTCACCTTTGTCACCTTTGTCATCTTTTTTGTCACTTTCTTCTTTGTCTTTATTGCCTTTATTACCATCTTCATCATTGTCTTTCTTGTTGCCTTCTTTATTACCTTTATTACGACTTTCATCATCTTCCTTGTCATCTTTATTGTCAGCTTTATCATTATCTTCTTTGTTTTCTTCTTTGTCAGCTTCATCATTACCCTTTTTACTGCTTTCATTATCACCTTTTATATTAGCTTTGTCATCACCTTTATTACTTTCTTCATTATTGTCATCACCTCCTTTATCAAAAAATTAAATTTGTTAAATAAAAAA